AAGAAACCAATGGCAATATTGGATTGAAGCTGATATATTTCTTGAAATCGGTTGTTTCATCGCTCGATGAGCACTTGTCACACACAAACACTACCTGGGTTACAAAGTGTTATTACCAGTTGGTGCGCATTGCTTCATGCTTCAAGAACAGCAGCAGACGATTTCGACGCGAAGTAATTTTCGAGAACGAACATGCATTTTGCTTGCAAAAACATCATTGACGCACCTCAACATCTCTTGCGCGGCCTAGCAACAATAGTCATTTGGGCAACGTACTAGTATAACTCAAAGCTTCATCACCTTAGTGACAAAATCCGCAATTGAATTGTTTTATGTGAATCCGATACTTTGTCAAAATAAGATAAAATGCATTTACATGTTCTAATTCTAATAGATAGACTACTAGAAGATGGGAAATGAATTAGAATTTAGTGATTTTGCTCCCAGTTTCATACATATAAATACTGTGAATTCTGGTTAATTGGGACACATCGGGGCCAGAACACTTTGGCCCAATTAAGCGGCTGCCCCAATTGACCAATGACCTAATTAACCGGAATTATTGTACTTTTATGAGCTGCAATATATATTTGAATTATCATGCATAATAAGAAAAACAATAATTTGTTATTACTGCGTCAAATTACTGTTCTTAACGGACTGCAAAAGTACTCAGACAATTATACGCTGCCATACTGAGATACTGGGAACGACCCGTTCTTCAAGTTCCTGAGCACTGCGGGTACCTAATTTTCGTTGGCTTGATCTATAGACATTCGGTAGGACTCCTTGGACGAGGGATCGGCCCGTCGTAAAGCCTGTACCTGTACACAGGACAGCACAACACAGAAAAACGCGGACAATCATCCACGGCTTGAGTGGGATTCGAACCCATGGTCCCAGCGACCAAGCGGCACAAGACCCACGCCTCAGACCGAGCGGCACTGCGGACCCCTATACGTTGTCATACAAACAAAAATATAATTTTACTTCTTGTTTTAAAATGGTATGATAATGGCCTCATAATTTCCATGAAACACAGCATAATAATTAGACGGACTACCTTAAATAAATGGATTGATTCATGCATGGATTCAATGCGTACAAGAAGCCATGTACATAGTCGTGATGTTTTGATATGTTTTCAGAATTCCGGTTGAAAACTCCCGTTTATTTGCCGTTATCTCATTATATTAATTTTATACATCGATCGTTCGGTTATCCAAAAAGGCTGCGTAGAGATTGCTTGCTACTAAGCCAGGGTGAAATCTACTTTGTACAGCCCTTGCGTACACTGAGATGTGTTTTATTTACATCTGACGATACAATGGGATTGTAGGATAAGTTACTTCATACATCAGGACATAACGTGATGAATAAAAGTAACATTCCCGCCACAAGCCATACAAAACGAAATCGGGTCTGGAAATCGACACAAGAACAAGAAAACACAACTGAAATTACATTTCTCCTCCCACTCCATCTGAAGTTTATTTTTCTTTCGTTCTTGAGAAGTGCTCTTACGTGAGAAGAAATACACGAAAACAAGTTTGGAAGCTTCCAGCTACTTTATTTCATTTTACACAATGTTCCCAGTTACACATGGCCACGATCCAGTTCAGACAATGAACAGTATTTCGGTATGAATACTTCATCAGTCGTTTGCAGTGGGATAGAAGAAATTTTCCCTCTACATGCCATCCAGTACCTGTTCTGTACAGACACCATATAAGGTCAGCGTCTCCGTATAAATATCGTACGAAGAATTTAAATCCCTGAATCCTATTGATGTAGATATGTATTTATTAATTCTGAGTTTATTTAATAACAGGTTTAAGTGCTCAGAATATATAGCATCGGAAGATTAGTGGAAACCTAACTGGGAAGGATAAGGAAGAAAGCGACCATGACCTAAATCAAGGTACTATCCTGTCGTTTGTCTGGAGGGATTCAGGAATTCAAAAAGACCTTCAGTCGGAAAAGCCGGTCTCCCGGTCAAAATTTAATCCCAAGATCTGTTGTAAAATTTGATGTTTTCACAGCGATAAGCACGAAGATGTCTGTCTTGTGGATTGTAGCACCGTGTAGTCTGGTAGAAGTTCACTAAATTTAAGAGGTCTTACTGCCCCCATTATCATTCTGATGTTGAAGGCAGCATGGACCTCTGAAACGTTGGTTAACTTCTGCGAGACTACACTACGCTAATGCGCTACAACCCACAAGGGAGCCATTTCCGAGGTCTCTTGGTAGGAAGCAAAAGGAGAAGACGATCAATTGGGTCGTTCGTCATAATAATTGTAGACATTTCTGTGTGCTGCACAGTTTCAAAGGAACTGGCGGCCTCGTTAAGGAGAGACCCTGAATTGGTAAAAGTTACCATGTTTCGCCTGTATATATATATATATATATATATCAATTCATTGCTTAAAAATCGTCGTGCCATCCGACGTATGTTGGAGGTACTGGTCAGCAACGTTAAATAAACCATTAATAAGTAACTAAAAAGTTATCGTCAATGCATTACGTTATGTTGCAAGCAGTGAAAAAAAAACTAAAGCTTTCCATACTTCTATTCATTCTGTGTAACTTCGTGTTTTCGGGGGTGATTCCAAACGACACCAGAAAACCTACCTTCTACGACCTTCTCCAAAATCAACAAAATCCCATGTTCCCTTGCAGCCCACAGTCTGTGCTACAAGGTTGCTGATCCTCCAGCTCGCCAGAACTGACGACACTTCGTTTACAGTCATAGTCAACTCTCAGTCACAGAGGACGATATCCTCATCAGCTTTGACGCCGATACTTATGACAAGGCTCACCCCCGAATACTAAACATATTTCTTCCATACTCTTTCCAGGTAAAAACAGAACAGACAATTTTCTCATAGTAAATGCACATTTTCATTATTAGGCAAGTGCCCAGTACAACATAACCATTATTAAAAGAATTAAATATCACCAATTTTGATTCTCCTTGTACAATTAACAGCTGTGTTACATTTGAAGAAATTTATGGGCATTTCTTGTTAGTACCATACTATAAAATCTTAATTAAATAAATTAATCGATATATCTATATGCCACAACGACCAATTCCAGATACCATTACACTTGATCAAAAATATTAAATATTTTTGAATAATATAATCTTAAATATTATGAAGTATTTGTAATGCATGAAGGAAACCATGATATACAATTTGAAATAGGTTTTACCAAACAGATATCCAAACCTTGTTGGCATTTAAATTTCACAATTTATAGATTGATTTCAAGTTCTGCGGAACGGTTACAGAAGCCTTAAAAACATTAATTAAACCTCTGATAGTGGAATCATCAGTAAAGAAAGATATTACGATAATAAAAACAACATTTTCTAAAATACTGATTGTAATACTATCTCTTACTTTGTGTGTGTGTGTAAATGTGTGTAATGTGTATATATCTCAATCCGAAGTAACACGAATAATGTAAGAACTGAAAAGTGCTTATGAATATATTTAGTAAGTTACTAACAGAGTTGAATAGTGCAATATGGGAAGCTTCACACCGAGAAACTCCATACTTCAAATCCTCATTTAGTATTCCAGGAGCGAACACCCCTTCAAAGCCCAGTGGAAACCAACTCTGCATTTTACCCACAAAGTTTATTATCTGTTTCGCTTAATTCTGAGAGTAAACAACTATCATTTCCTTAACAGCATTAATCAATTGGTTTGTGTAATCTTATGTGTGGATACTCTTCTATCCTGAGGATGATGATGTTACGTTTCACCAAAACGTCGGTAAGCAACTGCTCCAAATTTCATAGCGCTGTAATCGACGTACAATGGTATTACTTCAAAAAATGTGGTTTCTCTGACACTTACAGTTTAAGTTCGGCAATCCACCACCGGTTGAAGTAGACCTGAAACTTGTTTGACAATGAAGTCACTTTCTACCACATCCCTACGGATTAAGCAATGGCCTATTATTTTTATTGAAAATTCACGTCATCGGTACTTGATAGAGCTTAAGTTAACAAAAAATATTAAATGTTTCTGAGCGAATTGTCATGTTGAAATCACGGAAAAAGGATAAAAAGTAATTTTACATTGAGAGTTTATAGTATCATCTACGTTTGTCAATGACATATCAGCTAAGACGCGCATAAGTTTTGCTTTAAATTTATCTCTACGTTCATTGAGCACATTGGAGTCAAAGTTCAAACCACACCATATAGCTCCCCACTTTTATTTCATATAATTATAAACATATGTTTCCGGGCTATTAATTACATCCGTAGTTTAGAGTCCTCAGGAAGACCTACGCTCAGCTAGTCAATAATTCCACCTTTTATGGAATTCGCAGTTTAATTGACAAGTTCATAACCAGTCTCTATTCTGAGGCAGACATCAAATCCACACCTTCCAATCCTATCTACGTGAGATCTATTTTAATATTATTTTCCCGCCTACGTTTAGGTTTTCCGAGCAGTTTATTTCATTCAGGCTTTCCAAATAAAACTGTGTACACATTCCTCAGCTATTCGTTGCATGCTACATGCCCCACCAATTTCACCCTCCTTCATTTGATGACCCTAACAGTATTTGGTAAAGAGAACAAATAATAAAACTTTTCCTGCGCACTGCCTCCCGCCACTTCTTTCCTCCTAGTTTCAAACATTCTCTCCTAAGCACACTGATTTAAAGCATCTCTCAATGTCAGTGTTCTTACCGGAAAGCGAGTGACCAGGGTTCACACCTACACAAAACAAGAGTAAAATATATATTTTAGATAACACAAGGAAAAACAAAGGTTTTTTAAACAAACAATTATTTTCTGTGAGAGAATTCACCTGTATATAGTTGCAGGAGACTTCTCTTATAACGTATTTCGTACAGTACAGCGACCACTCAGTCCGATGAGAACATCGTATCTCAGTACCCCCTTTCAAACGCTGCTGAAGTGCTTTAAGTTTTATATCCATTCTAATATTCAGCTTTCCATCATTTATGCAGATCGCTGTTTGGACTGTCACCTTGAAGACAGACGTCTGAATGTCTGAACACGAGACCCAGTACGGTCGCCACGTCCTGAGAAGTGGCTTTACCACATTCTGCATCATAACCGTCATAAGACACCATCAGTAAACGAGTACAACTACAGGATCGTGCGAATTAACATCTCGAGTGACATCGCAATATGAAGGGCCGTCACCAGTTCCGACGGAGATTCAGTCTTCAGCCGTCATTTCTGAAGGAGGAACCTGAGGATGATCGACGTCATCCTCACAACAGGTAACGTGTCACACTGCACTCCGTCCACCTCTACCTGTAGATTCTTAGGCGTTTAAGGATGTTGTTTCAACTGAATGACTGTACGGAACAGAGTCCTTCTTGAGAGTCGCTCACATGGTAAAGAAATCCCCGCCTATCACAGAATCTAAAACATTATTGCCGTTTTAAATTACTTCCGTCTGCCCATATCAACTAGGTAAGTGTAATCTATATCTTCACATCAAATACCCATTTTATATAATTCACCCATATAAGCCAAGGATTTCCAAATGATGTCTTCCTTATAACGTCGATTGAGGTGAGAATGGTAGGTAGATAAGGATTTGAGAGCAGACGATAGTGTCCTGCTTCAAGACACTAGTCTCGAAACACTGAAATAAATCACAAAATCTTGTGATTTCTTCTGAGTACTGAAGTTGTTGGAGACACCGGGCTGCACGTTAGCCAATAGGGACTGGTGTGCGGAGTGGCGTGTTCGCTGTTTTCAGCCCAGCTTTCCTTTTGGATTACATGTTCTCGAAACGTTGGTGTTTTCTGCATACAACCATCTGACACGACTGGTAACTCGATAAGAATTCATTATTTCTCTCTATAGGTTACTTATGCGACTAAATAGCATAGCAGCGTTGATAATATATAATATAATATAATATATTTGGTTTAGACTATATACAGAGATCTGTGGCCGCCTAACACCAGGTTTTCACGGCCACAGTCCTTACATACGTAGCACTATTAGCACTACTGCTTACTACAACTATTCACTAATGCTACTCTACATGACTATTCCTTAATCCCTAATACTATTTACATAACTCTTTCTTATTGTTCTCGTGCCTTCTA